AGAGAGATTAAGTTGAAGGAGTTAAGAAGAAGGTCGTTGAACAGTTACATGCACAAAATAAAGAAAGAGCACGCCAGAGGTCAGACGCTTTTAAATGAAATAGAAAGTAGACTGCTTAAGGTTAACCCTGGGTTAAGGGTTAACCCTGCTAACCCTTAGCCTGCCGAAATAACGGAACTTGCCGCAGAACGGTTGTTTGAGGATTGCAAGAGTAAAGTATATTGAATTAATATTATGGAGGAGAAACTTAATGAGGCGGCTAGTATACATTCGCGGGAGAGAACATCTTAATGATCTGGCCCCATACATTTGCTCATACATTTGTTTAAACGTTGGATAGCGAGTATCCACCCGATAAATCACTATCCAGCGGCCTGATAATTTTTTTATGTATTTTAGGGAAACCAATTGCGTTATCTACTGGATAGTTATTTATCCAGCGGATAGCGTTATCCACCTTTTAAGCAAGTCAGCCCTGGAAAGACGAGAGCAAAGATCGCTAATGTCGGGAAACCCATGCGACAAGTATGGGGAAAAGTTCCACAGTTTGAATGGAACAGGAACACTTTATGGTGACGCAGTGTTAGAACAGGTCACAGAGTGAGTCCTAAGTAATGAGGTAAAGGAATCAGCCAATCAAATCCAAAAGTGAATGAAAGTACCTTCGCATTCCGAGAACTAAAGGGCCCAAGCCTCCCCTTCCCATCCCACGTCTCTGCCGACCCTGTGTAAATCGTCTAACAAAACTAGTGAGTCTAAAGTGGATTAGGTTTTCCTTTTCTTTATTGGTAAATGCTCATGATTTGTCATTTTTATTTGCTATTTTTCATTAAAACAAAAGATGAAAAATTGTCCGTTTTTGTTTGTTTTCTGTTTATTGAAAAAATGAAAAAATTGTTCGCAACACTTGTCATTTTTTTCATTTTTCTTGTTAAAATGGAATTATGGAAAATTAGGCGATAGGTATTCCATTTTTCTATTTTTTCATTTTTTGAACAAAATGGAAAAAATGAAAAAATGGTGGGAATAAATATGATTTTTTCATTTTTCCTTTTTTCTATTTTTTGCGAAAAACGGAAAAATAGAAAAATGAGTTAAGAATCGGAGATTATTTCATTTTTCTCATTTTCTAACAATAGCAAGAAAATAAAAAATAGCAAAATATCGCTTTTAGCCGTTTACAGTATTTTTTGTATTTTTGAAGCGGACTTCAAAATTAGGAAAATGAAAAAATGATCAATTTTCCTGACCATTTTCTTTTTTTCTGTACTTTAAAATATGTAAATATGATAACGATAAGTAATATTTCCTTTTTCCGTTTTTGTTGGAAAAATAGAAAATTAGATTGGCCGAAGTGTGCACGGACCGTAAATGATTATGAACGGCGCCCTTTTTTGGTAACTATCGAGAAAGAAAAAGTTATACCTTGGCGATCGCAGCGATAGTATCTGATTGAAAAAACGTTGTCGCTTGAAAAGTATAAACCGTGAACGGTGTGACCTACTGGATTTATGGGTAGAACTATATTAGCATTACAAAATCAAAGTTCTTTCCAGAAATGTTTACTGACGAAGCTGTGCAAAGGTTATCTTAACTTTCCTTAATTTAAAACACATTTGCAATTTTCTCAGAAACAGTGATCTTTCGGACTTAAGACACTTTCTTGCCGATCGCAGCAATCGCGATCAAATATAATAGAAATCATCAAGTGCCAGGATCACTAAATTCTATTTATTTTTTAGCGATTGCAAGGATCGTAGTGATCAAATAAAAACCAGCCTGCTTTTCTAGATGTACTAAAATTCCAAAACGTTTCCAACGTTGCTTAATTGATCCGGCCGACAATAACACAAAAAGCGAAACATCAGTTAATTAATGGCTGTTTCACCGCTTTTTGAATAGTAAGCAAAAAATGTTTTTTTTTAAACAGAATTCCGAAATTGTATGGTGCTTTTTTGTTTGATTCTTTGTTTTTGCCACGATAATACGGCGTGTTTAGAGTACTAAAGCTCGATCCGAGAATTAAATCTCTGTCAGTCACACACTGAGAAAAGAGAAAAAGAACTAAATTAAAAGTAGTCCGCGTGAAATTCTTGAAGGCAATCATTTGTTCCATAAAGTTCGGTCATTGAATTAATTCATCGAGCTCGATCTAAAGGGTGAAGGTCAAGCTACTCGAAAGTGATGTCGTTTGAAGTTATGTCGTCCAAAACCTGATAATATGAGTTTTGTCGCCCAAAATTCAAAGAAAAGTCGCCCGCAATCCTCCCTCATTCTACAATGTTTTTAGTTTACAGATTCTTGTTTTTTTCGTCCTGTGAAGAACCAGATATAATACACGTTTACAGCGCTTGATTCGTCTTAGCATAGCGTAACATAAATTTTCTTTACATAAATTATGATTGATAGCGCTTCGTTCGTCAGGGGCACCTGACGGCGATTTCCTCCTAAATGCATCCTAACATCCTAGGACAACTTCAGTCTTTTCGAAATTACAAGGGCTTCAGCATTATTTTCCCGAAAAATTTAGCTTCCAATTGAAAGTTTTAGGAAAGTGAGAATTTTATCGTATTTTCGGTTCCGAAAATTTCAGGATTCCTTAATTCTCTACGAAAAATAGCTTAACTGGGGAATGAAATGGAAAAAATTAAACTTCAGAAAATCGTAAGGAATTTATTAGATAACCTTCGAAAATTGTACATGCATGGAACGGTCATCTACAAATGTTTAGCCTTCCTCAACCTATAGAAAATTCTAGGCAGTTTTTGTTTCTCCGATTTAATTACCTTCGTTCGTCTCAGCATGGAAATATATGAAACTAATTTATTCAACTTCATTTCTCTGTGCATTACTGCTAATAAATATTCCGGTGGCATAACTATAATTTTCAGGCGACATAACTTCAGGCCTCTTTGCGATTCCGGTAAACAGCCGACAGCCGGAGGAATTGGTTTACACTGATCTCGCGTTAATTCCAGGCTAGACCACCATTAAGTCGTGATTTTCAAATGGCCACGGTTACTATCAAATTCCAAAACAGTCTCAATTGGTATATTTGATTCACTTTGACCAGTTATCAATGCTGATTAAATCCGCTGAAAACCCAAGCCATTTTTATCATCTTAGCGGTTTTAGTAATCAAGCGTGTTCAGCGTGTCTTACCCAAATTGCACGCTAACCGTGCTATAATTCGCACACTTACCGTGACATATGGCACGCTACAAAAAAAACAAAAGGTCTAGCGTGTTAAATTTGCCAAAACAAAGGCAATTGTGTCCGTCTTTGTTTTTCCAATTTAATATGCGCATATCCGTGATCTACGGCACGCTAAGCGTGTTGTGCAAGCGTGTCGTGCGCGTGCTTTCACCTTTAGCATCAAATTCCTGTGGAGGGTCACAATTAGCCTCCTCATCCTTACCCTTCCTGATCAATTGGAAGGGACTGCTGTTCGATAAGAAAAGTAATATCATTGGGGGAGGGGACTGTTAATACAATAACACCCCATGAAGGGATAAAGCTACGTTCACACAGTCACCGAACCAGTTTATGACCGGTGGAAAAATTCGTGTACTAACCAAAATCTAGGTCAAATTTTTAGCCGGTATATTCAAAACTTTGATCTGCGTGATGTGAACGTCGTAACTTTCCACATTTTCGTACGGCAAAGACGTGGCTGGGAAACGCCATTTTTGATGTGCTAAAGTAACGCTGTTCCATCATCGAAAGTGATCGTTAAGCGCCGCTTTGAGTGGGAAACGGTGTTTGAATTTGAATACTTTTTTAAGCTATTCTTACGTAAAGAAGAAATTTCACTCCTTTGTCAAAAGCTTAGGCGTAGTTCCGGGAAGCTGTTTTAAGTTTGTCGTGTTTACACCCATATTCAACACTTAACTGGTTTTGAATGCAATGCAATAAAACTATCAGCCAATGAGACATAATCTATTGGTTTGTGAGGGATAGGTCCGAAAACGTTACCAGCCTTTTTGAAAAATTTAGTTTGGAAACATTACATTTAAAGATGAACGTTTTACTGTCAAACTCAGAAAAACGTGAACACCTGAAAATGTCTTGAATGTTGATTGTGTACTGGCCAATCACAAAACCACAAACTTATTAGCGTTGCTGTTTGCGGTTTAGTTATCTCTCAACTTATTGGCTTATTTCTTGCAACACAATAACATTCGATAAATATTTCTGGTGTTCACGGTGAGTTTCACAGTAATGTGCTAGAGAATAATAAGACAAAGTTGGGCAAGTAACCGCATAAAGATTGTTTGCATTTTAAATTTACAATACGGTAACGAGACCAAACGTCGACAGGCATTTTAGGAAACGAACCCGGGTTCCGTACTGCAGGTTATTGAATACGTTTATTTATTATTCATTCCAAAATATTTCGCCGTCTCTGACTGGTTCCAATTCCTCTGCTAATTCTTCATAACCAACCAGCCCTGACCAAATTTGGAAGATGCGAGCAATATACCATCGATTCGATGGTATGTTTGATTTTAAACGAGACTGTATGGCGCGGCCAAGAGTGAACTAAAAAACAGGCGTTCATGGCTATCTAGAAACAGAACAAATAGAAGAAATAGCTGAATTTCTGACTAGAACTGAACGGAAGAAATGCAAGAATACACAACAATATTGCTCGATGGATGTTATCTACTTTTCGAGGAGTATCTCTAATAAAAAAAATCTGCTCATATCCTGAAACCGTGCCGAAAAGAAGCCAAAGTTCCACTGAAACTCTAGGAGGAAGTTAGCACGTTAAGAACTTAAACATATATTTTGAATCAGTCAATGATAAAACCATCGGCGGATAAACATTTTAGACAACAGTCTCCTCAATCTGCATAATTCTTCATAACATACGAAAGCCGAATTCAATAATTGCTAAATATGGTGATGGTTATAGTAATTTCATTATGCTACGATACTCGATTGACTCGAGCCCATAGAGACCACACACGATGCCTTTTCAATGCTCTGAAGAATCTTCAGAGCACGTTCTTGTCATAGGCTTTGTAAGTCTCCAGGGAATCCATCTGTTGTGCACCTGGCGATTGATGCTTAAAAATAGGAGTGGTCAATGTGGTCCAACGCTGGTGAGAAAAAAACAAAGCAAGAAATCCAAATGAAGAAAGAAGCAAGATCTAATTCAACTCCGTAAAAGCAACATCAATTCATAGCTCTTTTTAGTGATCCTGTACAACCTTCTCTAGCGAGAACCGACTGAGCCTGGACAAGAAGGTCGTTATTCTGCTCATCAAAATTTCGTTAAGGGAGTCACTAGGATACTGCTGTTTCAGCTGAGGTTATGAATTAGTACCTTTTTCACAGACAAAATTCCTCTGTAGAATTATGAAAAAGGTATCAAACAAACTTCGAGTGAGCGCATTTTTATTGATTTTTGCAGGCAAAGCATTAATTTTTAAAGCTGACCGAAATTTTCTACGTTTTGTAGCATTAAAATTCTATATGGCCACTGGTCAGAAATTGCCCACCTACCCCTCCCCTTAGTGAACATTAACACTTACTTCTAACTTTGGGAAAAATGTTGGCTTAGGGGAGAGGTGATGGGCAGTTTCCCAGAGACGTATAATGATCCGTTGTATGCATAATTATCAAAATATTTGATTATAATTACCTCCTTAAAAGAACCCGGTGTAGTGACAAACTTGTACAGCATCACAAATGGTATACAGGCGATTGATGAAAGGGCCATGATCCAACCAATGGCTTGTCCCCAGTCTGGATAATCATAGTCGTCATATTTGAGCGGCGAATATGTCACGAGACTAAAAATGAAGACCGCCTGTTGGGGAAAAATGAACTCACTTCAACGTACGGAATAGTATATTCCGCGACGCAGTAACAAAAACAAACAAGTGAGGCATTCTACACAGGCCTTGAAAAACTTCCCGTCCAGTAGTCCGGGACAAGTAGATTTTATCTGGGCAAGTAACTTTTTAAGCTCATTTGCACAATAGGCAAAGGTCCAGCAAGTAATCTTCTAAGAAAATCGTTAACTAATACGAGCAAGAAAATGCGAGAGCTGCTTACCAAAAGACAAACAAAACTTCAAGTTTTTTTTTCGAGGCCCGATTACACACTTCCTTTGTGGTGAGTGGAATGGCAATATCAAAAAAGGCCCCGGAATTACAAAAGGGAAAAATCTAGACGTGATTCTGAAGTAATTTCATAATTTCACTGAGGTCATTCCTGTCAAATTTTTGTCAAACGTTACCAACTGGTTGGTTATGTTAAAGAAACTTCAAATTTGAAATATTATTGGGGGGGGTCCCCATACTCTTTAAGGAGCAGCAGCAACTTGTGTATATGCAATAATTCATTACATGTGATTATATTTACGAGTACATGCTTTGAACACACTAATTTCCCCACGATTCCTCTTTTTCTACACTAGGAATAAGTCTACAGTGTGTATTAGAAGTTTAATGCCATTGTTAAAAAGACAAAAAATGATCTGTCACCATGCTCGTTTAAAAGAAGATGACGATTCACCGTGCACACCTCTGGGAGTTCCACCCTTGAGGCAAAAGCCGCCATTTTTTAATGTGCGCACGCTATTGCACGTGAAAATTGTGCGCGGTAAGGGTGCGCAATACAGTGCTATGGAATAACCTTAAATTCGTTTCCTCACCAAGCAAAAGGCAGGTGTCATCAACATCCAACACCAGCGGCACCAGGGATTGATACGAAATCCAATCATTCTTTCCATGTCGTCATAGAAGCGCTTGCCACCTGAATGATGATATATATAAAAAGAGTCACAACGTAACAAATCAAAGTTATTATCCTTTCCTTTTATGGTTCAACAGTAACGACACTCTGAGGGCGTGGGGCATAATAAGATTATGTAACCGACCCAGCATAAAAAGGAAAGGTATAGTGGGCGAAGCTTGATCAGGTCTCTCACGAGCGCGTTTTAAATCCATAAAACAATGCTGAAGAAACTGTCTCTTTTTAAATTTTTTTTGAATCAAATTGAATTCTTAACCATGTTCGAAGATGTGCAAACGATCCAAAATGGAGCAGATGTAGTGTTGTTTATTATGGGTACGTGAGTAGGCAAGATGGAGCTATCTTGGCTTGTTTGTGTCCATAAGAAAAAAATCCTGTTGCAAACAAATACACAGACTGACCAGTCTTATTTCGGGTCATGTTTGATCGACATCAGACTCTATTATATTTTTTTCTATGGATGGACGATGTGAACCTCATCACTTGACAATAACACAAACAAAACCCAGGTTATTTTATTTCATATGGCATTTTTCTCACCGTATATCCAGCCAATGGCGATACTTTGGAAGAGAGCCACCCAGAGGAGAGCAGAACCACTGGCGGAGTAAGCATCAAATAGTTGAAAGACATACATGCCACCCTAAACAGAACAAACACAAGTAGAAAACCGCCATTAGTCTTGACGAACTTGTTTAGCGACCGATCCTTATTAATGTAATAATTTCTTGACAGAAATCTCCCGTCAGAGCCGTTTAATGATGACAAAGTTTTGTCCACACTTTGTAGGCGTTTGCATTTCTCTGGATACCCCAATGCTGCTTATCCTAAAAAAGGAAGACCTTTTCCTTGAGAGCACTCGTCTACTATCAACGTCGCCTGGGTTGAATTCCCGAAATCGCCTGTATGTTGGTCGCATTTGTTGTTAGCTATAGTCCTTTTCCCGCAAAAACAAACATTTTAACGCATAACAAATTTCCAAAATTTTTTTAAGTACCTGAGTGTTAACTGAGTAAACAAATACAGAACAATTTCAACTTTAAAGCGTAAAATTTGCAATTCTATTATATGTTTACGAACTGAAAAGTTATGAAGCAGGAATCCTTTTCTGCAGGTATGTCAAGCTCATACTTATAGGTTCTATTTAATGGACTTAGCTCCAATTAACTGAACACTTTCTCCGGAAGATTTATCAGCATCAACTTTCGTAATGTGATGTCCTCGCTCGGTAAAAATGGTGTGACCTAACTCGATCGATACCTAATCGTGCGTTGTTGCCGGTTAAGAAAATACACCGTTGCAATGACCGTCGCTTGACTTTGCAATTTGAGTGCCAAAGGACACATAGGGAATGGGAGAAAAATAAAGAGGCATCAGTGGCGGATCCAGGGGAGAGGCCCGGGGGGGCCGCCCCCTCGCCCCCTTATTTTTAGACCAAACTGAGGCCCGAAGGGCCGAGAAAAATTTTTTTTGAGACCGGGCCCCCCTTATCTCAGGGTCTAGATGACCGCCCCCCACCCCCCCCCCCTTATCTGAAGGTCTGGATCCGCCAGTGGGCATGATATTATTACTAGATTATTTTCCATTGTCGGTTCGCCTCTCGCTTCTAAAATATTTACTTCGGAAAAGATACTGCAGTTACCACCGACCAAAAAGCAAGGTGAACGCCTCACAAGTTGTGAAAACTTCGTTTTACCCGTTCCAGACCTTACCTCCCCACACCCCTGGCATTACCTCTTTTCTTTATAATCTGTGGTGATGTATGTAAAGTGAATAGCAGAAGTATCTGGAAATTTATCCCAAAGCGTAAGCCTTGAGTTTATATTAGAGAGATCTTGAGACTTTTAGATCCCAAGAGAAGGAGGACTACGAGAGCGAAATTACTGGAGCGCGCGTGAACCAGCGTCATTTTGGCGGGAAAACGTGATAGCCGAAGTTTTAGTGGCGGAAAAAAGTTATTGGTTGTTAGATGTTCAACTTTTCTGGTGCAAAAAGTAAAATGAAGCTTTCCGCGATACCTATCTCTTGAGAATACCTTAGGTCAAATTTCGCTCTCGTAGTCGACGTCGTCATGCAATCTAAAGGTCTCTAATAATAATGCTTTAAACTACTACATGAGAAATTTCAGCAATTTGATTGGCTTAGGGCAGTGGTATTTCAGCGTAATTTGAAATACCTACATGTGAAAATTACAAACTTTCTGCGGGTAGTAGTATAAGCAAATAATAGCATGATTTGTACGTGATATTTGGCATAAATACCACTCGTGATATTTCAAAATTGTCTGAAACTTCACTCGCCTAACGGCTCGTACGTATAACAGTTTTCAAATATCACTCGTCCTAAATCTGCGAAATATCACTACTAATCATGCTATTACCTATACTAATACAACGGTATTTATCAGACAACTTTAGAGAATTACGTAATTAGGTAGAGGGGACGAGAGGATCACTCTGTTATCTATTGCAGTAATTGGGGATCGCGAGAACTTCTCAAAAATCTCAAGTAATCTACTTAAAATATAAAGATAGTATTAGCCTCCACTTGAAAACGCCAAGAATAAAAAAATCCTACTTAAGAGAAGCTTACAAAGAACGTCATCTAAAAAATATGATGACCGATTAAATCTTCGTAGAACCAAATACTACAACAGCTACTCACTTACAAGGCCGATTCAGCCATTATTATAAGAGCTTTAAAAGTTGCCATTTGGGCGTTGTAAGACGTTCAAAAGTTCCCTTACTTTGTTCAACTTTCAGTTTTGCGCGTACGTGAAGAAAATGTCACGAACTTAAAAGATTAACATATAGAAACAAAAGACCCGTTTGGACTTGTTAAACTGAAGGTGAACCAACTCTTAAAAACATTCGAGTATTTAGTAAGAAGCTTTAAAGGTTACTAGCATGCAAAAAGAACACGGAAACAACATAAATTACTACAGTATGCATTACTTACAAATCAATCTCGTTATTCAAGGTTTGGCTAGCAAGCGACCACTAAACCTCTGCAAAGAGTAAGGGCTATAATTTTCGTTGGAAACAAAATTTAAATACACGCTGCTTGACGGTCACCTAGTTCAGTTTCTAAGTATGCATGTACGTGTATTCAAGATAACATACCATGAAGGCTACCCAAAGAAAACATACAAGTTGAGGCTTGCCGTGCTAATATTAGATCAAAATTATGCTTTTGTACTTTAAAAAGACAAATGTGTAGAGCGATCTTTAAAATGACACGTACTTAAAACGTTATTTATAACAACTTGGTTAGAGAGAAAAAAACAAAACAGAACACCTACAAAAGAAAAACAATCAAAAGTAAGAAAATAAAAAAGTACGTATTGTAAAACTGGTAATATCTCTCTTGTTCGCCTAATTTCAGCACTCTGCTCCCGGGTACACGAGCATAAAATAAGAGGCTAAGGAGATTAATGACGCAAAAACAAAAGAAAGGATATAAACAAACAAACGAACGCTAAAAAGGAAGAGAATATTAACTTGAAACATTCCCTATTTAACTGATGCGCACGTAGCGTTGATCTCATTAATCGCAGTGTTTTTGTTCAGCTCTCATCATGGTTCAGTGTTTCGCTGTTTTACTGATTCTCTGTTTTTCTGGGGGTTCACTGGGAACAACTACCTCACCTCAGCAACAAAACACCGCAAAGTTAAAAGATTTATGCGAGGTAAGAAGAGAGAACTATTTTACCTTTTAAAAGAAAGTTCACAATAACGTTGCACGGGAACCGCCTGCCACTTGACTCATTGCTACCATTCAAATACATGTACAGGCTTTTGCACAGTTATTCGTGTGCCATCTTTAACTTGTACCAGTTAATATCCTATCACATAAACCGCAATTATACACACATCATAACACGTAATACAGTTAACATATTTCATTTGTCGAACTTTTTGTCCCTTCTTCACAAACTAGGAATTCAAACGACAGTTTTTCGATAGCACACTTTCTTCATCACCGGCTATTGTGCTCTTACAAAAGAATTGAAGCGACGGGTGGGTGACTATTAGCTTTTAGGGTAAAGAGGAATGAATTAGTTCATTGTCACGAATGTTTGATCAAAACTTGCAGAAAACTGACCTTCAGTCGTGGGGAAATATTCTGTAATCCTTTCAGATTATTATATATGCCACAACCGTTTTTTTTTTTTTTCAATTTCATCAAGGTGTAAAAGCAAGGTATAGTGCGTTTTCACTCACAAAAGAAAGTATTTACATAAGAACAAAATCTAACTACTACATTATTATTGTGGAGCACCAACATGGCCGCCGTCCCGCGATTTGGAAAACTAATGTGGTTGCCGTGACGTCACATGTGAAAACACTCTATTTAGAAAAACAAATAGACCAAAAAGGCCCAGCTTGCAGCACCCTCCCCCGACGTCTTTTAATCTAGGACACCTATATTTTCAGAAATCTATACTGGGTCATGGTTTTCCCGGCATACCAGGATCAAATGGCATGCCGGGAATGCCCGGTGTTCCGGGACCGCAAGGACCCCAGGGAAGGGAAGGTGCAAAAGGACAAAACGGTGATAAAGGATCACAAGGAATACCGGGTCCAAGAGGAGACAGAGGGCGCCAAGGGCCTCTCGGGAAGAGTGGACCACAAGGAATCAAAGGAATAAAAGGAGAACAAGGACTTGTAGGAATAAAAGGAGAGCCAGGCGTTTTGGGAAATCAAGGAAGAAAAGGAGACAAAGGAGAGAAAGGAGAAAGCGCCAAAGCAAGTCAAGCAAGTGTAGTACCACAAACCAACTGGAAACAATGTGTGTGGAAATCATACAGCAATACTGATAACGGAAAGATTAAGGTAAACAAGGGACGGGCTGAATGAGAACAACAACTCAGATTATTTTCAAAGATATATTAACGAACTTTTACAGCTATAGGACGATAAATTTTCCTACTACTTTCAACTTTTAATTCCGCTCCCTACCAAAGCCGTATTGAAAAAATAGTAATAGAAAGCAGTTCATTCCTTTTGGTTTTATTTCAGGATTGCAGCTTCAACAAATTGAAGGCCGATACAGCTCTTAAAGTTTCGTACCAGGGAAATGTGAAAATGTATGGTGATCGGAAGTGTATTCGATTGTACTTCAAATTCAATGGAAATGAATGTAGTGGACCGATGACGATCGAGGCTGGTATATACAGTGACTGGCTTAGTGTCCCAAACCTTCATCATCACCGGTCATTTGAGGGCTACTGCGAAAACATTCCCAAAGGGACGGTTCGGGTGGAGTTATGGGTAGGCCAGTGTCGAGGCCATAGTTTGGGCGATGCTTACACCGGTTGGATTTTCGTGTCCCGTATAATGATTGAAGAAGTATCCAGGCCGCAGTCCTAGAAATTACCAGTGAATAAGAAGACTATTTTGCTTATATAAGAAAAACTTTCAGTCGCAAATACAATATAGCAAACTTAATGAATCTAGAACAGTCAGATCGTTAATTCGCTAAGCGTTGAAAAATAACTTTGAATTGGTAAGTATCGTCCTTTTTTGTTTTATTCAGTTATGATTTTATTCCAAAAAATGTAGTTTACCGGTTCAGTAGAAAACAGAAAAACTACAAACAAAATTCGTACTTAGAAATATATCTAATATGTAGACTTAATAAAGCGTCCATAAGAAAACAATTATCATTATAATGAAATTCCAAGTCAAAGAGCAAGTTTGGCCCCAGTTTTTCAAAAGGCGGACAACGATATACACCAAATATTCTTATTCAATGAATAGCGCAATTGGTTTTCTAAATAATTAATCACTGAATATTGATGTATCCAGCGAATTGCGCTGTCCAACTGTTGGACAATAGGCCACTTGCACTAAGAGGTCACGTGGCCAATGCTTCCTTTAAACAATGAGTTGGAATCTTGCTGATGCCAAAATTTGTTAGAGCACACAAAAATTATCTTACACCCGAAATTTGAGAGGAAACGCATTTAAGGGAGATATTTTGTGGCACTTTGATTTTTCAGCAAAGTAGTATGACTTGTATTGGCCGCCATGTTGGAGGGCATGCTCTTGCCCTCCAACATGGCGGCCAAGACTACTTCTTGCTTCTATCTTGTTCAACGTTTCATAGTTACGCTCAAATGTGCTGTAAACATTATCACATCATCTTTTCAACATTTTCCTTGAAGTTTAAGTGCAAAATTTGGGTTCAGAGAGAGGTAATTCATAATTTTAAAAGTCACATTTTGGTCACGTGACCATTTCCGAAGGCAAAATCATACAACTTTCATTTTCATAAAAACGGTGTCACATGCCTCTTAGGGCAAATGGCCTATTGGGGCTTGGTGGTGGCTTTCAGTTTCTTTGTAACAGGTAGAAGCAGGACTCAAATTTAGTTCCCTGGTGGGGGAATGTTTTTCTGTGCATGAATGGTTCTGGTCAACAACATTGACTTGTTACTTGCTTGCACCTTACAATCGGTCACTTATCTCATTTTATAACCATGGACCAAATTTCAAAGTTTTTAAGTGCGTTCGACGCCTAGCCTGTGATCATGCCTTTAGTCCCTATGTACATAAAGGTCATTCGACGCCAGCAACACGCAACCTAAACTCAATGTGCGAGAAGATTTATTAAACATTACATTTAAATCATCCAACCACTCACTAAGAAAATTAGATTTCAACGCAGTCAAATTGAGAAAAAGTTACTAATTATAAACAGCCATGGTTCAATGCAATTCCTGTTACAATGTAATATTGGATTCTTTATACTAGTTACAGACAAAAATTACCAAAGCTTAATTTTCTAAACCCATAAAATATAACCCTACGCCAGAATAATTGTGGGGAAAAGGGGTAATGGATGACGTATTCCAACGAAAAACAGTGCGCCACTTTTCTCGTCAAATTATGAGTATCTACTATGCACGTGATTGGCGGAGCCAAATCAGTTGGCGTGGGAAGATCTCGTGAAGGAAGTTACCTGTGATAGGAAACGAACTGTTTTGTCTCTCTTTAAGGATTTAAAGCAAATCTACGGTTAATATTGACTTTAATTTACATTAGATTGGCCGTCGCTTATGGAAGGTGGTCACTTACGAGAAGTCATAGAGGTTCGACTGTATAAAGGAAAACATACCTTTGTCACCATGGATAATCCAATAAGGTACCAAACCATGCATACACAGGCAATGAAGATTTCTTTACGATAACCACGCCTTAACTGCTTAGGAAACAGGTCCACAATTGCGGTCACGAAACCCTCAATGCCTACGAACTTGAATCAGAAAATATAAAGTAATTTTTGGAAGCAAGTATGAGATGCGTCTGACTGATACCTAACTTATAAAAAGCCGTTTTCTGACGTATTGGTTGGGGAATGCACAGGTGTACGTGTAAGGCAATCCAACTATATAAGACAATTTTTTTATGGACATGTTATTCTTAGTTGACAAAACCAGAAAACAAAAACTTAAATTTCCCAACAAATCAATTTCTTTGCCCCATTAAAAATAACCGTTGGAGCCGCTACATGGCTGACGGAGGCGCGAACTCACTGAAAGCCAACGTCTGTTTTGTCGCCTAAACGCGAAGGCCATAAAAAAAGGAACGAATGAAAAAAAAAACAATAATAATAATATTATATTGGCTCTTTATTATAAATAAAAGCAGACAAAGAAGCAAAAATTATTTAATGATATACAAATAATCGACTTCATTAACAATCACTATTTTCCTTGCTTCGGCTTTAATGGACTATTTTTTAATTGCTTAATGGTATTGAGTGAACCTCGCAGCCAATAATCTTTCCACACAAAAAAAATATTATACTACATGGTTTGGAAATGTTCAATACCTCGCTGTCAAGCCCTAACAGGAAGACCATAAAGAAGAATAGAACCGACCAGAGAGGAGCCAACGGCATCTGAGCAACTGCTTCTGGATAGGCGACAAAAGCAAGTCCTGGACCTGGAACATACCGGAAATAAATATTGAATAAAGGTCCTATGGCATTGTTCTAACAGCCAATCAGCGTTGAGGCCAGAATCTGGCTGCAGTGAACACAAGCCTGTGAGGCTTTGTATCAGGCCCAATTTTACCGGGAGACCGTAAGAGAGAATGTACGAGAACGGCTAAAATTGGGCCTGATCTCAGGTTCTAAAATGACGCCAAAGTGCAAATGGCTTATGGAAGCAGTCACCTTGTCGAAGTGAAAGGAGGCAGCGTGACCGAGTTATCCGAGGGTCCCGATGTAATTTTCCCCGTCTAAAAAAATCTGCAACATGCATCTAATCTAATCATCAACCTACAAACCTCTTCCCCATTAAAATAGTACTTCTTCTCTCATAACGGTATCCGAGTATCGGAAGTGAATTTATTAATAGTGATACATACATTTATCAAGACCTCCTTAAGGTGTCTGGATAAAATTTGTTTTGATCAGGTTAACAATGACATCGGAGTTGATATGGCAACGAAATAGTGTCATTACTTATTTTACTTGCAGCCATATTTTTTGGCATTGGGAAATCTTCTTCCAAAGGGAACTTTTTCCTCCAATACCAACCCCGAAGTTCGTGAAGTTTAGGCGAAATCTATCAACGCGTTATCGCGACATTTTGGGATGAAGATTTTATGGAAATAAATACGGTAGTGGCTTTGTAAACATTTTGGTCGACTGAAAAAAAATAAGCAAATAATTTTGAAACTGCTCGATCGATTTTTTTATGAAAAATTCAGATTCTTGAGATTAACCGTCGTTTTATAAGACCTTTGAGTTTCAAGATTACTGATAAATTGTAACGCAGTAAAATAAAGTCTGCAATTCGGTAATTTTTTTGTCGGAAATTTCTTTACACTGAGAGTCTCATTATTCAGGTGTTAAGGTCGGTACACACTAGGCGACAAGTTGCAGCAACATGTCGCGGCGACACGTTGCAGCGACAAATCGCTTCCTGTGTACTGGAGAATTTTTGTGAAAATCTTTTTCGCTGCAACAGAATTTGTCGCCGCAAAAAGTCGCACAGATTCAGCCTGATTTGATTTTTTGCGACTTGTTGCAGCGACAAAATTCTGTTGCGGAGACAAAGATTTTCACAAAAATTCTCCGGTACACACGAAGCGATTTGTCGCTGCGACGTGTCGCCTCACCTTGTTGCTGCCTTTAGTCGCCCGACCTGTACACATGGAGTGATCTGTCGCCGCGACGTGTTGCAGCAACTTGTCGCCTAGAGTGTACCGACCTTTATCTCCAAGTTTCATCTTTTCGTGGACAACAATAACTAACATTTCTGCATATTTCAAATTCATTGTTAGTTAATGCTGTTCACTCAAGAATGAAACTTGGAGACAATACCCCTGAATAATAAGAGTAAAATAAAAGTAAAATAAGTCATGGCGTCATGTCGTCGCTATGACAACTCCGATGTTATTGTAACCCTGATCAAAACAAATTTCATCTTTATCTAAGACAGTTGCGGTGGTAATTTTTCCAAATCTTAATTAATGGAGACGTAGTCTATGCTCAAACTTGGAAGGTATTGACCCTGAAAAACCCCATCGAGCCACCTTAAAACATGGAACAAGATTACACTTTTTTATAATTAGGCCTGTGTACATTATGCTAGCATTTTTTTTAGCATTTTAGTGAGGCAAAAGCATCAAGCATTATTCAAGCATTTTAGCGGCATTTTTGCGGAAAATTATTATTTTTTCTCACCAAAAATAAAAATTGTAAGAGAAACGACTTAAACTCCAAATTCTAAGGAAGGATTCAAATTTCACCTTAATATAGCCGTGTAGATGAACATATTTTTGCTGTATTAAAACTATTTTACCTGTATATATTGTTGTCATACCAATTATACATTTTTGCTTAGCCTTACCCCATTAAAACGTTCAGCACTAATAAAATTGATGATGAGCACTATCGAGCATTAGTGAAATTTTTTTTTGAGGAGGGGGGGCCAATCTTTTTCGTGGGAAAAATGGAGCACTAAGGTGGAGCATTTTAGTGGGGAAACAAAATTATAATGTACAGAGACCTTTTTACAATGACCTTGGTCAAGAGCTTTATCCTCTCTTGCCTTGGTGAATTCAAAAAAGCAAAGTGCTAAAATGCATGGATACAAAACAACTGGTATAAATAGTCCAAGAACTTTTTCCTAGAAGTTATTATGCGTTAAGATTTCCGTATAATTAGGGCGATATCCCATTGATTCTTGGGTAGTCTCCGTGTTCATTCTTACCTCCTTTGGCGACATCCTCTACTTTTACGCCTTGCTTTTGCGCCATAAAGCCCAGCACGGAGAAAATTACAAACCCACCATAGAAACTCGTGCCACTGTTTACACAGGCGAATATTATGCTATCCCTGAACCAGAACGAAAAATACGTTAGAAGGGCACAAGAAAGTGCAAAGGTACTAAGCTCTGACGTCAGCATACAAAGGCACCACTGGCAGCCGCTTTCAGTCCATTTATGAGCTTACTGTACCCACCCAACCCATGATGTGAATGATGTGATGTGTAAAGGTTGACCACAACACCGGGGTCTACGTCTGCCACTCTTTTCGAACAGTGGTGTGGGTTCTTTTACGTCCCACAAGAACCAGATGAATGTAAGTGCTGTGAGGCGGGACCTACGGTTTATCGTCCTTATCCGAGAAGACTAGAAAGTCTAACCATTTACAGATGTCATTACAAAGGCAGCACTTTCTTCTCATATATCTAAAAACCCCAAGTGTTGGTCCGGCGGGGGTTCAAATCCGTGACCTCCCGCTCAACAGACCGGCGCTCTCCCAACTGAGCCAACCAGGCGGCACATAAACACCATAAAATAACTGCCAGCTACGCAGGCTAGTATTTCGACTGCAATAAGAGAGAGCACGTCTAAGGGTTCTATGGCAAGTTCCAGTGCAAGTTCTAAATGATTACTGCAGTCATGTTGTCACTGGCGAAACAGAGCCTTAAAGCATAGAGAGATAGAAGCCTAATCTGCTGGTACCGATGATGATCTTGAAGTGTCCTTTCTTACCGGTAGCAATTGTGATTGAATTTGTTATAACTTCCAAGCGCAATAAGTGTTCCAAGGCCAATAGAATACGAGAAAAACACTTGCGTTCCAGCGTCTAACCACACCTGTGCAATTAAAAAAATAAATAAAAATCAGCTTCCGTCAAAAAGTATGTTCCTTTCGTATGCGCACAGCTATACTAGAGAAAATTAGAGTCACGATTACGTCAAACGTGATTTTGTACCACGTGACCACTTTTCCCCGTAAATTGTAGTTTATTACTGTAAATTACCTCTACACAAAGAAACCTAGTTTCTCTTTATGTTTATCCAGAAGAATTGTTCTGGACCTTTTTTATCTGGTTATTTTCTATTTTGAGAAATTCTCAACTTTGCATCTGACGTTTGCGGTTAACTTGACTCTAAAATATCACTACCATAAACAAAGGCAGCATTCACGTGCACCAATCTCCCTCAAAAACTCTGTTGTGTTGAATTAATGCTTAAGGGATTGGTTTATCACTCGCTTAAGGGCTTTCGGATCTCGTTCTTTACAGACGATTCAAATATGCGTGAACAAAGCAACTTATGTGAAACCGTGTGTGCATGCTTACGGTACTGGCAGATAAGTTCCTGTGGACTTAAGCTTTTATTTGTGTGTTCTCACCTGGCCATCCTTAAGTCGGGTCACATTTGGAGTAAGATAAAACTTGATACCTTCAGAGGCACCAGGGAGGGTGACGGCTCGTATTAGAAGAATTGTCAGCAGGATATATGGAAAGGTTGCAGTGAAATATACAACCTGTAACAGACCGAGACATGATGTTAGAAAATGGAACCAATGGCAAATATGTGCATTGGTCAAATGATTACTAGTTTACAGGCCTCAGAACATATATTTAACAAATGGACCACAATTTTCCTTGGTCTACACTCTTACAGACCATAAAAATGACTTCATAAGATGTTCAAAGCTCACGTGGAACCACGAGCCGCAGGCGAATGGTTTCACTGCAAAGTTTTGAGCATTTCATCGCGTCATTTCTATGGTCTATGGTATGGACCATGGAAAATTGTGGTCGATTTGTTGTTTTCAGTAACAATTTTTTTTTTACGAAAACAACCGGCGCTGCGTGACATGTTACGTCATTTTTATGGTCTATTCAAGCAATAGACCACACTTACTATAGGTTTACCGGCAAGATAACCCACGCGGGATGTTGGGAGAACACGAGAAAACCTTGTAAATCACGAGCCCAATATAAAATAACTTTAAGTTTTCTATGAGTTTACTGGCACAATAAACCATAGGTTTTTAACCAATCAGAACGCGCGTACTATCTTAGTTATTTTATAAACTCTCATAGACCATAGCTCTCGACCAATCAGCGCGCGAGGACTCGCTCAGTTTATTGTAAAAAACTGCAAACAACTGGTTATTTTGTTCCCCTTCAAGAAATCACTTGATGTTTTTCTGTGAATTTAAAGAAATATGGGTCCTACAAGAAAAGGCATTTAGTGTTATTTTATAGCCAAAAAACTCTTTAAAGAAGCTCGTAATGGATGCAGAGCTATATACCCTAAACAGTATATCACCTTTGCCAAAATCCCTCACCTTGCCCGTAGACTTTACCCCTTTGAAAACGCAGAGGTAACAAATAATCCAAGCCAACAGCAGACACAAAGCCAGGTCCCAATTCACAGTTCCTGGTTCGTCCAGAGCGTTACCAATCTTTAATACTCTGAGCCTGAAATCCAGATAACGCAGCAAATGATTTTTAGTACAAGGTTTTTGTCACACTTAGCGGGAAAATTTTAAATCGAATAGGAGTACAAAATAGTTCGAGCACATACATCTAAGACTTGTCTCACTAATCGTTTTGTGTAGTGCCTATATCTCCAGCCATGTGTACTATTAAGGTAGCTCGAAGGAGGTTTTTAATAAAGGGTCAATATCTCCCTTGTTTGTGAATTATCTACGTCACCATTAACAAAGACCTGGAAAAATCAATACCACAACTGTATTAGAAACATTAAAATTTATGTCAGCGTTACAATAACATTGGAGTTGACATGCCAACGAAATAACGCCACTACTTACTAGAAATTAAGCAATAAACTGGACTTTCTTGATGTTCGGTCGTTATGTTTAGAAAACGAAGCGCTTTTGAAATGCAATTTTACCTCACAGTAGTTTTATTAATTTCTAAAACGTGGTTGAAAAGATCATGGGGATAGCAATAGCCGCTCGCAAGAAAAAAAGATATGATTATTATACCATGAGGTGCTATTTTTGGTGTTTTTTTGTAAATGTTTTGGTCAACTTTAACAAATGAGCGAATAATTTTGGAACCGCTAGAATTTTTTTTTTCAATTTGAGATTCTCAAGATCAACCACTGTTTTAAACGACCTTTGAGTGTCAAGATTATTGATAACTTATCAAACAATAAAATAAGGGCTACAATTCGTCAGAAGTTTCGTGTTTACAAGAATAAGCCTCTCATTATTCCGGTGTATTGTCTCCAAGTTTCTTATTTTCATGGAAAACAATACCTGACATGTCTGCGTTTTTCAAATGCATAGATTTCGCTCAAACATCGCGAACATCCAGGCAGCTATATGGGAAAAAATGCTCCCCCTAAACTATTTTGGAAAAAAAGTCCCTAGTGCCGAGAAAAACATCTGCAAGTAAAATAGGTAATGGTGTCATTTCGTTGCTATGAAAAATCCGATGACATTGCCACCCGGATAATGACAAATTTTAATCTTAGCTAATACAGCTGTGCGTGTAATTTTTCCAATCTTCGTTAACGGCGCCCTAGTTACTGCTCCTTACGCCTTCCACCCACTCAGTCATTCAGTTAACCCTACATGTAGGTTCTCAATATAAATCCATACAATAAAACATGTATGAAACTACAAACGAAGCAAGTAAAGAATGCAGTAGATGTTTTCTTTGTACGATTATTGTTGGTTCCAAAGTTTAGCTTTACGAGTACGTACGAGAATGAGATAACTTACTCCCAATATTCCACACTTGCAGAAACCTTTGCAGCTTTGGCTAAAGCAGTTGGCGTTGTTGAGACGTTGGACATGTTTGCCATGATCGTTGGTAAAACAGTGGCATTCCCCAAGGTTGCGTTTACACCTGTGCTGTTTGCTATGGTTCTGTTCACACTCTCTCCAGTGCTATTGGTCGCTGTAGTGAATTCAACGCAGTTTGCGGTGTTCCACTCATTTCCACACGTTGACCAGGGAAGAACAGAAGTGAAAGACGCAAACATGTAAAACAGAGCCCAGCCCAGAATAACAATGTAGTAAATGTTCAAAAACTGGACTATAATTACACTAGCACAACCAATGCCTAAGGAATGAAAAAGAAAAAACAAACCTTTGTATAAAAAAAACTATGTATAGAGTGTTTTCACATGACGTCACAGCGGCCATATTGGTGTCCAAAACAATGAAACGGCGGCCATGTTGGTGTCCCAAACCAGTCCTGTGGGAGTTAAACTCTTTTCTTATGCAAACCATTTCTTTTGTTCCAATAAATTTGCATAGATGCTGACCAGGTGAGTGAAAACACTCTATAATGAGTCCGCTGTAATTTGAAAATGCATATAAGCTGATGCGCTGAATTCGTCCAAACAAAAACAAGTTTTAGTATTTGTGATCCCAATCAGAGTTCCCATTAACGCAGAGGTGTGCATCATATACGCAACAAAAAATGTAAAGGACGCATAGTTTTTTTTGTCATAGTGGCATACCCAAAAAATCTTTGCGATCATCATGGCATGTCTTTCGAGCCGCCATTTTGTCACTCGTCGGGTCATGTCTATACAAAAGTTAATTCTATATTGTTTAGCCTTCAACATTGAGGAAAAGTTAATGAAATAAAGATCAGGGGGATGATACCCAGGTGACGAAACGCAAATTTTGTCCTAAATGGCTTGAAGAGTTTTAATTGTTAAAATTTGATTCCACTGAAAAACAAATGAAGTGCAAAGTTTGGGCTCATCCTCGGTGTAAGAACCTGTTTAACTCACCGGTGACGTAAAATAAATAAAACAGAGAAGTCAACACAATAAAACCAAGAAAAACAAAAGGTACAAAACAATGAAAAAGTTCACAAGTTCTTACACCGAGGTAAACCCAAAATTTGTCTCGATGCGTATGGCTGTAAACCTAAACCTTCACAAAATTTTGTGCATGGAGTAAATAATTTCCAGCGCTCAAGTTTAACACGACATCAATGTGGTAATGATCACACTGTGGCTATGAGTTTCATCAAACAAAGAAGATCTCACGAGACTGTTGTGCACCATATTTAAGAGAAGGAAAGCACGGCAGTTGAAGGCTCATGTAAGGAAGGCTTTTGTCATGGGGAATTTGTCTTAAGTCTATTGATTTTTATTATTTAAGAGACAGGTCGTCCACTCACGAATTTTTTTTCCTTATTGTTTTTCTGTGGCGTTAATTTTTAATTTACAGATTGCCAATGGTAGCTCAGATCTGAAGAATGACACTTGACTGTGACTTATTGTAAATGGTTTTCGAATCACTATATTAATAACTATATGTAATAATATATAACTATATTAATAAGGTCTACTTGAGACTCTAGTAAACTAATGTAAGATCTCTGTTATTGGTATTAGGAAACACGAGGGGCACACTTTATTCCAAAAAAAAAGTATTGTTAATAATATTATTGTGTTACTGCCCGGTCTTGGTTTTTACTTCTCTGTTGAACAAGTTAAAATTATATTTTAGTAATAAGCAGGGGACCCCAGAAAAGCAAACAGGACCCCAACGTTTTGGAACGGGGGGTCTCAAGGATCCCTAACTATCCCTAACTAATGAAAACTTAAAAAACTAGTTAGGAGATGCAACAGTCTTATTCTTCTTATCCGTTAATAGAGCAACTGCGTGTCTCCTTTGCGGCAAGCGTTAACTGTTAACACGTGACAAGTTTCCCTTTTAATTGTCCGACTGCTTCTCGTTTTTTGGTCAATAAGGATCGTTCAGGGCAGCCTTAACCTGCTTATTTTCAATTTTGCGAAATTCTCAACTTGAATCAGACGTTTCATCTAACCAGACCCGCGCCGCCTGGTGTCATGTGGAGCTTTTAAACTAATTCGATTACGTTCTCTCGACACTATTTTCATTTGTTTTGGACAAAACAAGCCTCCCCCCCCCCTCCCCCCCCGCCAAAAAAACGTTTTCATATTACTGTGTTACCACGAAAACTAACTCTGATAGTGCATCACGCTTTTTGGTACATTATTTTACCAACTTCCACTACTCTACTTCGACGTAAAACGTGAACACACGACGACAAATTCTCCTTTCTCTGTTTCAACTTGGATACAATCCTCAAGAATTCAACTTCAGAAAATTCCCCTAAATTCGAAAAATTGAACGACGCTAAAGAACCGCGATTAAGTTTTAAAAAAAGCGAAGCCTTTCTTGTTTTTTGGGGGGAGAGGGTGGTCTTTTTCACTGCCGTCGTCGTCTCAATCCTTAATACCCAACAAGATTTAAACAGCGTCACGTGCAAATGCGGCGCTCTTTAAGTAAAATAGGGTAACACATAAGGGCAACAGCTCAGAAAACTCTACGAAAAAAGTTATCCGATGAGCATTAATTTATCACTCTTCAAATCTATTTTTAAATTGCTGGAATATGTTTGATATTTCGTTAAAGATGTCATTGACAACGTTTAAGCATCATGTGTTAACGTTCTCTACTTGAATTAAATCATTTGACATTCTTGTCCTGAAGAGAACGCTGGAGAAATTTACAAAAATGTGAAAAACACTTGCACAGGCATAGTTTAGCAAATCTATCCTACTGGTTAGTACCATTTTGTTTCACCGTTGCTGTAATAATGGCAATGACCTTAATACGGTTTAATAATTGTTGATCAACAAATGCTGCATCTCTTGAAGTTCCATCTTGTTAGAGCTTGTTTCACCTCTGTACTGTCTATCAAATATGTTTAGCAATGTTCAGCATTTTGAATAACCCACTCTTGTCTGGGAACTACTTGGCAAGGCGATCATTATGATTAACAAACATTCCAATTTTTTTTGCCTCAGAATTTGCACTAAACAAGAGTTCAGTCTCCTTTTAGGCAACGCTTTTTGGTCATGACGACCAACATAGCAGCTAACATAGCAGCTAAGAGGTTAGCTGCAAGCCAGATTTTAAGACGGTTTTCAACATGGTACGATGTACTGACTTTTTCGACTAAAATCGCGAAATCTATTTTAATAAAAAAATGGTGAACCCTGTTTCAATGGCTGTAAGTTCTACTAATACTTTAATCAGACAACTGTATACAAACCTTGGAAAAGCGGACATATCAGCCACGCTGTTATTCCTCCTTGACTAGTTAACTGTCCCAGCGCCACTTCCAAGATAAGGATGGGCACTCCAGCAAAAATTAGACAAATAAAATACGGGATGAGAAAACAACCTTGGAAAAAAACAAAAACAAAAGGGTTAGGAGGCACTCCGAGAAAGTGAGAAAAACCAAAACTCCCTCGTTTCTTACTCTACTTTTCATCTTCCATCTACAGGGGTATATCCCTCTGTTTTCGTCAAGCCCCGTCGACCATGGATGTTTACTGTCTAAAGCCTTTTTAAAAGCATCTTCATTATAAATTTATGGATTTCATTGCTGTCATCGACACATGTTAAAAGACAAGCGTCAGTAGCTTTTTAGCCCAGTTGGCAGAAGATCTTCTTCACAATTACAAAATTGATTTAATGACAAAAAGGTCTTTCTTGAATATCAACGACTCCCTGATTGACAAACAAAAAGGCAGAGAACGAGCGTGATATTTTGTAAGCAAATGTAAATTGCAAGTGTTTGGGCGGCTTTGCCCCAGGTAATGATAACGATCTTTTGTAGGGCCACCAAATATATAGATACACTCGAGCCGCAATTAAGACTTCGTGTTGGTTGTAAGAAATTTTAAACAAATTAAACGTAAAACTCTCCCGCAAATAATCGGGTCTTGAACAAAATTAATTTAAATTACTACTATATAGTCCTCTTCACAATGTGTATTCAGTGCAGCACTATTCATGCAGGGTACGTATAATGAATGCTGAAGGCGCTGACGGAGAGACAGAACAGACTGACGCCACCAGTCCCTTTGAAAATGAAATGGGCTTTTTGAAGAAAGTTTGCTAAAATCCATCACAAGAGCGTACACCATTAAATAAACCGATTTAGCTGGACAGTTTTGATTAGTAGTAAAATAGGCTCTTGGCATGACTTGATCACGTAATCAACTTTCGGTAAACACGAAAACAGTTCACTTTTGAAAAAATTTGTCAGCACAAGCTGAAAGAGCACATTGAAATTAGGTAACCTGACTAAATTTTCAGCCGTATATCTCAAAAGTAGCGATTGCAACGGCCGCCGAAAGTTGGGAGTATTTGTATGAGAAAAACAACTTTTGCCATCCAGTCACGCTTGCATGGTTTTCCATACAAATCCTTAAAACTGTAATGAAATATTTCCTTAAGCATTACAGGGCTCAAATCTCCTTTTAATTCAAAAACGCAATTTGATCGCTTAAATTCGTATTGGAAAGATTTAACGACAGTTTAAAAGCTTTAGAATTTACAAGGAGTTGTATGGAAAACCATGCAAACGTGACTGGGTAGCAAAAGTTTTTTCTTATACAAATGCTTCTAACTTTTGGCGGCCGTTACAATCGCTACTTTTGAGATACACGGCTGAAAATGCTCAAGTTAGTTAATTTTAATATGCTCTTTCAGCTTGTGCTAACAAAATTTTTCAAAAGTAAACTGTTTTCGTGTTTACCAAAAGTTGGTCACGTGATCAAGTCATGCAAAGAGCCTATTGTCCTTACTACAGAACTGGTCTGAACGGTTCCTTCTGACTAACGGTGAGCGCCTTGAGACACCGTGTGGATAAAAGTATCTGAAAGCTTAGTTTTCTTATTACTAATATTTTTTCCCATGTAAAGTTGAACTGTAATCATCAATGACATCAATCAACTTGAATGGACAAATGTTCACCGCACAATACTAGAAGTTACCTTAATGACCACATTGTGTCGCTCTTTGTACCTAGCGTTTTTCTCTCAGTCTTAAATAATAACATTTTAAGAGATACCCCGCAAGTAAGAAGGTAGTTCTTAAGAGCCGGTTAGACTAAAATTTACCATTTAGACCCCCTCTATACAAAAACACGTTTAGCCTAAAGTTTGAAACAGGTTCTTATTTCCTAAAATCTAACTAAAATGGGTTTTCTGAAGGAGGCAAATTTTCCTTATTATGGTCCTTTTTACTGGTAAGCAAAGTTTTTGTGAGGAGTAGGCTGAATGGCACTACTTTTTCCAAAAAAAATAAGAACCTATTTAAAAACCCTAATAGTCAAAATTTGTGCTAATTACCATTTTTGGAAGACCCTGTTTAGTCCAGCTTGAGAAACTGTTGGTTTACTTCTTACTCGCGGCAGGAAAAACCTCGAACTTGAGATGTCAAAAGGAGAAACCAGAAAGACTGGGCCACAGAAGGGAGAGCTAAATTGGTTTCCAATTTATGCCTTATTAGCATTAGATCAAGCCACAAAAATAGAAATTTAAATATAGAAATAAAAGATTAAGAAATTGAAAATTTACATTCGGGCTACCTTTGAAAAAAAAAACTTGATAAAAATCTGGTTTAAATAATTTGAAAGAATCCTGCTTCTCATACAGTTAGAGAGTAACGAAGAAGCAAAGAAAACATGTTTCCGCTGTGCAAGGGTTAAAAAAAAAGAGAGAAAAAAAGCCCTTGAAATGTTAAGTGTTAGCAAAATGTAAACAACCCTTTCCTGCTTGATATTGATGACATACATGCGAATCGCGGTATACCGGTATACATTAACTCAACCAGTGAGCATACGAATAGTATTGTCTATAACCGTTAAAGTAATTTTTCAGGAAACTTCTGACAAATGATTTATTAAAGGGTTCATTCACCTGTTGCAAATCGCGTTTTAATAGATGACCTATTGAAAACCTAAACATTATTAATATTATTCAGTTTTCAAAACAAACTGATAGTGCAGATATGCAAATTCTAAAACGCGGGACTTCATGCTGGAGTAATTTTCTTAATTAAGCTTACCCTCGATCAACTACTGAATTGAATGAAACGTTACCCCGTATAACCACCGTTAAACGCCACTTTTGAAATAGTCAATTTAATTTTAGCCGGTACAATTTACAATAAACGGAAACAACGTACAAGGTGATGGACAAAAATATTACAAACGCAATGCGAACAAAGGTGCTTTTTGTTCTTGTTATATCCGTTTTATTACTGCTACGAGCGTAAACAACTGCACGCCGGAGGGAGTTGTGGACCCTGTTAGGGAAGAAACTCTACCGGCATCCAGTAAGCAACAAGGCCTCCAATAAACAATGAAATAATTAATACTCTCCATTAGATATTCAAAAGCTCAGCGTAGCCTGCAGAAACCGTACAAACCCTTTCCCTCGCTGTAAGTTATTCTCAGTTGAGAGAAAAGCCTTACAGTCGTTTCCCATCCTATGTTTAAAGACCTTAAATCTGGTAACGGGTACATTCTCAAGACGTGGGTTTTTCTTGGAGACGAGAAATATATAGTTACGCTACAAGTCTCGCTTGTTTGTCTTAACAGTGACTTTCTCGAGGCTCGTTTGGCTTTGCAATGAAGCATTTAAGTCTACATAGTTACTGGTCGTTACTTTAAGCTTCAAAGAAGACCCAACCGTCTGAAACAAGCCGGTTTGCGAGGTTGCTGGTTTAACGTGGCCCCATATTTTCAGGTTAAGCCGTCCACACCTACGTGATATTCACATACACTTACCTCCACCATTCTTATAACAAAGATAAGGGAATCGCCAGATATTACCAAGTCCTACAGAAAATCCTATTAATGCTAGCACAAAGTCGAGAGTGTTGGTCCAGGTTTCGCGTTCCTTGGCGGCGCCCATCTTGCAGTTGTTTTCGTGACCCCAACGCGACTGAATCCAGCGGCGACTTGTTTATAACCACGGACATGGGCATCTCATCTCGGCATGCACGACACGTGATAAAACTTGCCAAACGTTACGCTGTGATGCATTTGAAGCCCTGTCCACACGAATCCGGACACTTTTGAAACCGCATATTTTTCATCCTGATTCGTCCGGACGAGGCTTTAAACCACTCTGGAGACCGGCTTCAAAACAATACAGTTTTGATGACCGGATTCACTGGTTTCGTGCGAACCGAAGGGCGATTCGTGTAAATAAGTATGCAGTTTCAAAAACATCAGGATTGGTGTGGTCGTAGCTTTAATAACAACAACAATTGAATTCCTCTCCACAATTAAATTACAGAATAAATATTGTTCTCAAACACCAAGCTACTGGGTGTCCTGTGATCCCAAGTGGGATTTTTATTTCGATTTTTGTTTTAGAAGATTAAACTTAAGAGCAGGCAAATATTCAGAGACAATGTTTGTCAAGGGATGGTAAGCCTGCCTATAGTACTCATGATTGATCTGAATTCTTGTTATGACCAACCGAGTGGAACAGCTTTGACAGCGAATTAAATACCCATAAAAAACGATACGAAGAAATCTCTTACAGTGCACACCTAAGGATCATTCCGTATGGTTCAAAATCAAAGGCGAGAGATGTTTTAAATAATCCGCTACATAGCGTGAATATTTTTGTTTATAAAGGTGGCTCCGTCATTAACACAGGCGCATTTAACTGTGACGAAGTTTTCGTCATAACTTTTTCGTTGTTAACGCGATGGCTGCCAAACCTGGCAAAGAACAATAGATATCATTCGGAAATAGTACGAAATATTCTGATTTCATTGATGGTAAATATTTCTTGAGAAATTAGCGCTTAAAGGACCCTACTGTTCAAAGAAAATCGCTTCTAGTAAAAAATTTGCTGATATTTTTTTACTGAAATTTCTGGTATGAGGTGCGAATTCCTCGTAGAGCTGCCGCTTGTGCTCATTTTCTGTTCATAAACGAAGGTGCTGGACAGTTCTATCTGAGCTTCGATACAAGGTAGCTTACAATCCCAATACCTTTTCCCTGAATTGGAAGCAACGTACAGCAGGATAAACCGTTGAGGATGCATTGCAATACATCAAATGTATGTCGCAGGAATTTGAGACAAAACTGCCTAAGGATATTTTAAAAATGTCGAGGAACAAGTTATTCGACGTAAGAGCTAGGCTTGGAGCAATTTATAGTGCCTCTAAAACTAAAAAGTACCTTTTAACGAATAGCACGATAGGCAAACGGCTTTTGTTTATAGATTAAGCAAACATTGAATTTACTTGTGCCGAAAATTTGAACTGGTGTCTTCTCCTACGTGAGAGTAATCTTTTTTGAAATTCCGGAACAATTTCACAGCTGAATTTTGAGGACTTCTGCGCCAACGATTTTTCTGAAATTTCTGCGGCATATTTATTATATCAATAAAAGCCGATACCAGAAATTTCAGTAAAAAATATCAGCAAATTTTTTTACTACAAACGATTTTCTTTGAACAGTAGGGTCCTTTTAAGCGCTAATTTCTCAAGAAATAGTAACCATTAATGAAATCGGAATATTTTGTACTATTGCCGGATAATATCTGTTGTTCTTTGCAAAGTTTCGCAGCCATCGCGTTAAAAACGAAAACGTTATGACGGAAAATTTGCCATAGCTAAATGCTCCAGTATTAATGACGGAGACACCTTAACTGGGCTGCCTCAGGGCACACCCAGTTCGTAAATTTGGTTTCGGAATTTTTCGGTCTCCTACGTCAAAAAATGAACACTTTTAAATATTAACCCAGAGGGCGTTGCGTGATCCATAAAGCATGTTTGTCCATCTTCGCAGCGTCTGTTTTTGGAGGTCTAAATGTCGAATTAGGAAGTCTCGTCCGACGAAAACAGGAACTTTGAGAATTTCGCACACAAGTTCATCTCATGTAAGCTTGTAAAATGTAAATCTCCCGTTGATTGTTTGCAGTTTTCGGAGGGTTTAGAATTTTTTCTTGTGCTTTTTTGAGGGAATATTTAAAAACAAAGTGACACTTGACCGGCTCATTTGCTTTGCGAAAATCTGTGAATTTATATTTTCGCCTGAATTGTGTCACAACTCTCTTAATCTGCGGAAGAAAACTGAGTAAACAACATTCAAACATGCTCTCCGCTTGTTTCAAGAAGAGACATAACAAGAATAGAATAAATTGGGACGGCAATTTTTGTGAAAAAAGTACTGTTTTGGTAGTCGAAGAAACGGGGAAATCAACTATTACAACTGATTCTTAAAAGTCAAAATTGAAATATTTTCTTTTGTCATTTTACCTTCACCAAACACTAAAAAGAACCATCCTAAGTGAGATTTCTTCCCAAGCCTGTATAGAAAGATGAAAGATCAAAATCCGAGCATTTCCGAGGACTTCACCAAAACGTTTCTGAAATGGCCGCGCCATGGACTGGAGACTACGTGACGGAAATGTTGGTCTTCACTCCGGAAAAGAGTTCTGCGCAAGCTTTTGCGCATCTCCTATCGCAGGCTTAAGGCGGGCTGTTCTGTGTGTATACTGTGTTTGTTTGTCACTGAGAGTTTTGACTGAGACCGAATGAAATGTACGAGGTGCGAACGTTTGCTCCTTCCTTTTTATTTGTTTGTTTTTTTTTTTCCCCTCACTTGAAAATTACTTTGGATTCAGTACAACCAATGTTAAAGGAAAAACGGATCATTCCGTCAGTCTGAGGTGAAATAAAAAGCTTTGATCATTTCCAAAGAGGCGAGTATTTTTCTGATTGAGCATTCAACTAATTTGTGAGTTGATTTCGCCTATTTTCGCCCGGCTGAATTAAAACCCGCTTGTATTCTGTTATTAGTAGTTACGGTTACTTTTTTTTACATTCCCAGATTTATATATTACCTTTGCAGAACCATCTTTATCCTTCTCTTCAGTCAAAGAACCTTGCTAACGCATGCGAGTGAACAAACTTGTGCGCTTAAAACGTTTTCGGAAATAAAAGGTTAGCAAGCTTTATACTCGAAAAGAAAAGTCTACTTCCATCATTTTTCTGTTGCTCAAGTAATAATAGTCAGGGATTATTTGATTGTTGCCACGCAGGGATTTCGCCCAGTAACTCGCGCTTATATTAAGGAAAGTACTTACAGTTGAAATATACAGTCATACAGTCAATGTAAATACAGTCGACTCCCGATAACTCGAGCCTTTAAGGGAAATCGAAAAAAGGTTCGAGTTATCGGGAGTTCGAGTTACCGGGAGTTCGAAGAAAATAGCCGAGAGTAAAGTAAAAAACAGTTTTTACTGCACAGTGAACATTTTAATCACATTTAAAGTGAAAATTAAAAGATTCTTTTAGATTATAAATCAGAACTTAACGTAACAAAACATAGCCTAAATAGAGCATGCGTTTTACTGATTTGAGAAGAAAAGCTGCTTCACGTTAGCCTGTGACAATCAACATTAGCCTCCACTAGTAAACTATACTCCTACATTCTCCTACAACACGTCAATAGGAAATCAAAAATTCAATGTCTCGGACGCCAGTAGACGGGTTTTTTCCCGACTTTTTTAAGGGCTCAAAACATGGTACGAGTTATCGAGGGCAAAATTACATAGAAAATGACCTGAAGGGAAACGAAAATTGGTTCGAGTTAGCAAGGGTAAAATTACAGTGAATGCATGACGGAAATCCAGGGGAAATCGATTTTGGTTCGAGTTAGCGCGAGGTTCGAGTTAGCGAGGGTTCGAGTTATCGGGAGTCGACTGTACCACTCGTGATATTTCAAAATTGTCTCAAATTTTACTCGCCTATCGGCTCGTGAAATTACCTGTAACGATTTCGAAATATAACTCGTGGTATTTATGCCAAATATCACCACAAATCATGCTATTACCTATACTAATTACATAGTTTTGTTTTCCAGTGCACTGTGAAAGTTTCTGTTCTTTATAAGAAATAACTTTATGTACGCAAATTTTCCCTTTCACTCGCTGTGAAGTTGAGATCGATAACCGCCGGCAGTGACTTCAAAACAATTGACTCTTTACCCGTAAACAATTGCTGGAGCTGGATTTGACTGAAGAGAACAAAACAAACGCTTATGTGCAGTTTTCTGTATTTTCTAATGATTCAGTTTGCTGAGTTTAATTTGCTTCGCCTTGAATGAAAACCCTCGCATGGACCAGTTTTAAAAAATAGCTAAATGTGAATCATGGCATGGCTGCGAAGCTTGCAACCGATCTTTTGCTTTTAAGATCTTTAGGTGGGTTGTTTTCGTACAGAAAATACACTTCGTCATTGTCAGCAGAGCCTTAAGCCTTATTTTTTTTAATGAAAATTTGTTGTTTTGCAACCTTACTGAAACTTTTTTTGGTTCACTTAAGTTGAATTTTATACATGATGGAATTGTTCTTTGCTTGTCGCATCTCTTTGCGAGCTTGTTCTTTGCTTGTCGCATCTCTTTGCGAGCTTAAAGTGGCGCCTATGGTCCTTAGAGTGACCTCAGTCGGTAATTAAATCATATACCTAACTGGAAAGACGTTTTTACAATAATGTAGCTTTAACTGTATGTTTGAAAGAAATCTTACTAACACGTAGGTTTTTGACAGGTGTTATGCATGTTTAACTTGACAACACAAAGCAAGATTTACCTGCGCGAAACGATCAAGGTAAAAAAACTATACTCGCTTTGAAACCGATTTTCGGGAAGATTTTACTAGATAAAGATTAACTCTTTTTCTGCCCACATATCAACGCCAAAACTTCTACATTGACGATTTTGTTTATATTTTAGTGATCTGTAAAGCTACAAGTGTCCGATCGAATGAATTCATCTTGCAAAAAATCGGACCTACGCACGCACATTTCCAGTACAACGCAAGGAAATTAATGTCCTTATAGTCCGTTTTAATATGATGTATTCTTCGAAGAAATAAAAGAATAAGAA